CACAGCAGACCCTCACCCGTGCCTATAAGCATGCAGAGAGCCACCATCCCTGCCTTCCTGATCGCTCCTCCAGGAATCCCTGCTTCCCTTCTCAAGACACTACTACTGCCTGGCACCATCTCCACTTGGCTAATTCCCCTTGTGGCCCCTCTATTGAACTGTTGTGTTGTCCATTTCCCTGTGACAAGGGCTCTGGTTACAGAGTTATTGATTGGTTTCATGCAGACAGATGGGCCCTTCCTGGCTCCCATCGAAATCCCTGGCTGTATGGGCTGATTGTTGCCTCTTGGGGTATAGGATTGCACCAGAGACCACCCTCCATGCAGTCTCCTTTGCCCGGGCTGTGGAAGGTAATAAATGGAGTCAGCCTGAGCGATAATAAAAGCAATCGAGTAGGTTACCTGTGCAGACACAAGATTTATGCCTCTTCATATTTGATGTGATTGTTTTATTGAGTTCTCAGAACAGTTGAGACTTTATTTGTTTATTTTGGGGTCCCCCCTCTCCTTTCTTCTCTACATCACTTTCTAAACCCAACCTGGAGGTTTTATTTTTTTTAGGATAACTCTTTATATCTACTTCTCTAACCTTGCCAGCTGAGGTAGGAACTCAAAGCAGCCAACTACTGAACACCTACGCCATAGCCTGAGTACCCACGAGCCAACCAACAGGAGAGTCTGGCCCAGAAGTCTACCAGAGCCTTCAAAGTTCTAGTCCCAGATCCCACATGGTAGAAGAGAACCAGTTCCCACAAGTTGTCCTCTGACCTGCACATGAACACTGGGGTAGGTGTGATACAGACAGACAGACAGACAGACAGACAGACAGACACACACACACATAAACAAAAATGAAATGTGAAGCATTAAAAACACAAGAAACAGATTAACGACCACACCTGTTTCACATGCCTGTCTAAGGATGGAGAGCAGACACTCCCACTAGGAGAAAAAAAAAAGGGTAAGTATGGTTTTGAGACAGAAACCACAGAGAAGAAACTACTTACAACCCCTGTCTGAGGCCAAGAGCTCCAAGACATGTCCTCTGTCCTGATCTTTCTCATTCCTCTTTGGGATGACGTCTTTTTCTTCACTCACTGACCCACCCTAGCTCCTTGTCTTGACACCAAAAGTGGTGACAACCAAACCCCTGCATAGATCTGGAGATGTGACAAGCAACGTCACCCCTCTGCTCCAGCTTCCTCATCAAGCCTGGTCCAAGAATCAAATCTAAGTGATTTGGGTCTGAGCTGCAGAGGTGGAAACAGATGTGTTGGTTTAGGAGGGGTCTCTGAAATTCCCATGGCTAGGGTTAATAACTGTTGGCTTACTTGGAAAGACAAGTGGTAGACCACTGCCCACTCCTCACCAGACCAATGACAAACACCTGAGAATTACTCAGTGGGGACACCTGAGGGACACCAACTGGCATTGCTTAACACAGCATTGAGCCTGCAGCCTTCTTGAAGCCAGTGCTGCCACAGCAAGGAAGAATGTATGTACTCGCTTTGAGGCAAACAGGCTAAGAAAGAATATGAGGGAGGTGGATAATTGACAAGTCCCAAGGGTCCATTGCAAAGATCTAAGAGTACAGAGTCCCTGTCCCCCAAAGTACTGACTAGCCTCAAGAAGTTCAACAGCTGCCTCGAGACCCCACCCCTGAGGATGTAGCCTTAACCCTACACTCCACACTCTGCCCAAGGGGACACTCCAATCTGAAGATCGGTGATATCATCAGGACAGTCCTTCCTGCCTGGTCAATAACTCAACCTGACAAGGCACTTTCCTCCTTTTTAGGTACACAGCTCTCCCATCTCTACCCTACCCTTACGTCATTTCCCATGCCAGGTTTCAATCTGAAGTTACCAATTTACAGTGTCCCCAACAGAGATGCCAAACAAGCTGGCAACTCTGCACTCAGCTCTAAGTAGCCCAATATTTATAATGATTCAATAAACTCCATGACCTGCTCAGACATAAGACTTTAGCCAGTGGTCTCCAGATGTAGATGGTTCCCTCCCACACCTTCAGCCCAGAGAAGGCATTTCTATGAGGATTTGCCAGGGGAGAATCCAGGTTGGACAGCCAAGGCTTTATCGCGACAGGATCAGAGAATGCCAAAACCATTTTTAAAGCACGAAGAACGATTTAGTTTATAGCCATAACAGCATATTTCAAGTGCGGCGACAGCATCTGTTTGGGGGAGGAGAAGATGCAAACCTTTGGCTCAGGTGGGTGAGCAGGCTGTAGACTTCCTTTCTAGCCAATGCTGGCTCTTGAGCACTCTTACTTGGGACATGTATGTATGAATACACGCACACACCCACACACATAATACATAATACATGTATGTACCAGCGATAACAGCCACACAGATGGGCACACTACCATCCCCAAAGCTCTGAACTCAGCCACTCCCCCACTTCCTATAGCACACTCCTCTCTACATACAGGTCAATCTCCAGATCCTTCCTGCAGTGAGCGAGAATTCTCAAAATAGAAAGGCCCAAGTTCCTAGTACAACTAGCACTAGCAGGCATGCCACACCTTTCTCATGCATTTGCATGAAACACAGCTGGAGAAGAACCTTCCCCTTCAGGGTAGAGCACTCACCAGAACGACACTGATGTCCAAATGTGTCCCAGTGACACACTGGGAAGCCCTAACCAATCTTCCCAAGTATCAACCATGGAAGGATTCTTCCCAAAGCAAAATTAAAAATAGTATGATAAATCCCATTGACAAAGCAAGCTTAACCACACAGCCAGGGCTCCCCATGCAGCTGGTGGCTTCCCTGTTCCTAGCCTTACACTCCTTCTACCTTCAGCCATGCCTACCCAGAAGTGGCTCTATCTCCACACCCAAAGGAAGCCTGTGTGTACCTCCAGTAATAGGATCCTGTTCCCAGCAGCCTCTGTGGCTCTCAAGGCCCATTCTTTCCCCAACGCTCATCACACGGACAGCCAGCTAGTCTACTTTCTTACGGTTTGGTAGGTGTACCTTCAGAGCTCTGAAGTTTGATGTTAGGATCACTTGTTCTCTGTGTTCTATGTTTTTGGATGAAACTTCCTCAAACTTGTACTTAAATCAGCTTTTAAAATAGCCTAGTCATCTGTGGATACATACTAGGGGTTGGGGGTGGGGAGGAGTGGCCAGGGAGGGTGCCAGACAGGGCTACCCCACTCAAAAAAAGCAAACCGCTGAAACCGTGTCTGTCTTGGGCTCTCCCGAAGCTTGCGATTCCCATCATAGACAATAAATATATCTCCAAAATAGTTCCCAAAGCACCCGCCACCCAGCCCAATGACATTACTCCTCATCCCAGCCACTCTTGGCTTAGCTACTGTCCTCTGAAGAATTCGGTTCTATCTCATAGTAAGGACCACAGGCAAAGTCATTAGGTGGCTCAGGGGAAAAAGAAAAAAAAAGGAGAAAAAGAAAGAAAAGTATTGTCCTCACCCCCCCCCCGCAACTGCCACACCTGCCTCAACACCCAGGCTCCCCAGCCTCTTGACTTTTAAATGCAAAGCACTTAGTGCTCTCTCAGTCTACCCTGTGTATGTCTCTGGCTCTTTTGGAAAGTGAATGTCAAACAGCCTCACGTTTCCAATACCTGGCTGAGCCAGACCCGGGAAGCTGGAGGTTTTCGGAGGGTGTATAATTATCTGATCAGTATTATGTTACCCTGTTCATAACGGAATAACCATTTTAATACAGATGGTACACACTGGGATAATTTCTGGGGTCGCCTTGCCGCACGTTACAGCACGCGTGTGGCAGAGGGAGTCTTCTTTAGCCAAGGTACATTCTACCAGCTAATTTTACCTGCTGTTTTCAAGATGATTTGGGATAATTCCACATCATTTGCAAAGGATTAAAAAAAAAGGTAGGTGATGCTAGGGCAGAGAGAGAGGCATCATCTGAATTATTAGTTGTTCTGATAATGGGTCTATGAAGAGTAGGAAGAATAACAGCGGAAACTCTGAGCTGTCTCTTCATTTGGGGGAGTGCCTGAGAAGTGGACACCTGCCTCCAGCTGGGGTGGGACTTTTGCAGTCCAGAGTCTCCCGCATGCAATTGTCTAAGCTGCACAGTTCTGCAGTTAGGAAGCTGCTCTCGGTTTGAGGGCTTTAATGTCGCCTGAGCGCTCTGGAGTCACCCTAGAGAGATACCCAGGCACACACTAGATGGAGTGCATATACATAACACATAACCATGTGGTTTCCCAGGCCTTATACTGAAAAGCATTCTGCAAGTTGAGCTGAGTAGAGCCTGCATGGTCCCAGTGTCTGAACCTATCATCATGGGAAAGATTTTAGCCTCAAGACAGGCAAGCTTAGCGGTGGGAGCATTTCCCAGGAGACAGCCACAGGGTCCCAGCTCTCACTCCCTGCCTGGCATCCCGGTCCTTGGTCCAGCTCGTCTACTGTCTGCCAAGTCCTGGCTGGTGGCTGGCATCTGCTCTGTAGACCTGGATGCCAGTGCTTCTGGGCCGGAAATTTGTGTGGAACTGGCGAGCAAGATCTGGGCTCCCGGGAGGAGAGCTTTGTGGGAGTTGGCTGAACTGGTAAAGGAGCCAGGATTCTGGCTGCCCCTGGGGAAGGGTACATGACTTTAGAAAGAAAAAGTCTGTTTGGAGGCGGTGAATAGACAGTGGTCATTTTAAAGACTTTGCTATGGGCTGTGATTGTCTCTAGATCCTGAGGCGGGTAATCTTGGAGTCTTAATTACCACAAACACTTGGATTCATTTCCAGGACACCGGCGGGAGAAGCCTGGCAGGGAAAACTCAGCTCCGAATTGGAAAGAGCTGTCTGTCAGTCTGTCTGTCTGTTTCTACCCCTCAGGTCTATTTACCATGCCCAAAGGACTGCAGGCTGGGTGTTGGAAAGGATGGGTGGAGGCTAGACAAAGAGCCAAGAAAGGCCCTGGGAGATGGCCCAAGAGGCAGGAGTAGGGAACTGGAGTCCTGTTCTCCAGGCCCATGGGGGGCTTTGCTCACCTGTTGATGGATGAGACGCTGGGAACTGTGTCATTGTCGCAGATGCCCTCAGCTAGCAGCCTGTCACGGATCTCCCAGGCGAACATAGTCGGGTTCTGTCGCTTGTATTCAGCAATCTTGTCCACCACTTTGGGCGTTGCCACCTTGGGCTTGGAGCCACCAATCACTCCGGGCTTGATGCTGCCAGTCTCGTAGTACCTGGGCCAGGAAGGCCGTCGGGGTCAGCAAGAAGCCGGTGGTGGCAAGGGCAGGGGGGCTGCAAGCTCCAGAGCTGCTAAGCCGCTCTCCCTCCCTAGGCATCAGCGTGAAGGGAAAAAGGCCCTGTGTAGCTGAGCAGAGACTCCAGAAGGTGCTTGACTAGGGTGGGAAACGGGGCGTAGTGGCTGAGTAGGGACAGCGGCCAGAGCAGACACCCCCTGGCAGTGGAAGGCTGACCTTCCACTTGGGAAGCAGAGAAGGACCCATGCTGGGCTTGCTGATCCCACCTGAAGCACGGAGTTTCTATGCAACCTGCACCCTCCTGTAGTCTTCCCCATGCTGCCTTTTCTCATCTTGGGACCCTCTTCCTCCAACCCCATCTACATTGATTAGCTGGGGGAAAGGCCCTCCTTTTCTGAATGTAGCTGCCTTCGCTGAGAGGGCCCAGGAGCTGGGTGACGCTGGCCAGACTCTACTCCACCCTAACTCCGCGTCCCAGCCTTCACTTGAACGCCCTTCTCAAAGAGGGCAGCCAGCCCTTTAGATCTTTCAAGCCCCTTCCTTCCTTTCCTGTCTGGCACATCGACTTTTAACTAAAACCTCAGCTGGGAAGGGAGGCAGCACCCGGCCCTCACCTGCCCAGGATTTTGCTGACACAGCCATGGCTGACCCGCAGCTGCCGGGAGATGTCACAGGGCCGCACACCCTGGTGGGCCAGCTCCACGATGCGCTGCCTCACCACGTCGGGTAGGGGCCGGCCGTTCACAAACACCCCCCCGAGCTGGTTCACACCCCCGTGCCCTGCTGGGGAGAGACAAGAAAAAAACACAACACCCCACACACAGCAGGGACCGGCCATTAGTCAGGGTCCGAGGCCCGCCACGTGCGAAGGGATCAGGCAAAGCTAAGGGGCATATCCCAGGACTCGAGGAGAAAGGGGGCTTAGTGGGCGGATGGGATGGGGGAGGATTCGATATCAGAACCCCGCTAGCTGTAAGCGCGCAGAAGCTGGATTAGGGAAGAGCCCGCCTCTCACACCAGTGCGCCGCAAAGGAGAAAGTGAGGGAAGAGTAGAGAACCTGGGGAGAGAGAAAGAGAGAACAGAGCTGGAAAATGGAGAGGAATAAACGACAAAGGGGAAATAATGTCAGCGAGGATGAAAGTAGTGATGTGGAGAAAGGAAGGACCGGGCCGGGGACAGCACTGCCGCGGACTAGGAACCCGCCTGCGCCGCAGGTTTGGCGCGGCTTGGGTTTCACAAGGGCTGGGAGCCAGATGGATTTGGAGGGTCGGGGTCTTCCTGACTCAGCTCAGCGGAGTCTTCAGCATCAAGAGGGACTAAGCCAAACACATCCCTTTCACCTTCGCTGCCTGCCTCTTCCATCTTCCCTTGTACCTATTTCTAATTGTAATCGTACTGTTTCCTCTTTCCCTGTTTGCCATTTTGTCTTTATCAGGAGTTCTTTCTTCCCTTTATGTTTTCGCTCTTCAAGTGTTTTGGACAATATTTCCCTTCTGCATCTCTAATGTCTATGGTGGAAAGAAATCCAGGTGAAATAGGAGCGGCAGAGGAGGTGGTGGTCCGGGATCGGCTGCACTCAGAGACCGCAAGGCGGCGAAGACTCTCCATCTTCCCGGCAGCCGCTGAAAAACGCCGGCTGCTGGGGTTCGCTTGTCTAGCACGCTACACAAGACTAGGGCCCCGAGTCTCCCCCGAAGGTGGCATGGTAGGGTCTGCACCTGCGGACTTAGGACTTCAGCAGTCCCTGTTGCCAGTCTAAACCAGTTCAGGACCCTCTGACCTCTCTCAGACCTCGGCAGCTGCCTACAAAACCCAACAGCAAGGGCGGATGCTCCCAGAGGCCAGAGGAGAGCCCCTGGTTTCCCGTCCAACTGGGCGAGGGCTCCCAACCTGGAAGCCAAGAAGGCCACCGGGTGTCAGGCTCAAGGCCGCTGCCGGGTGCCCCATTTTCCACGGCCTAAAGCAGTCTAGAAATCCTGCACCTAGCGCGATTAACCTGCATCTGCAGATACTCAGCAATCCAACCGCAGAGACTTCCAGCGGCAGAGCCAGGCCAGTCAAGGTCTGCAACCTGCAGCCGCTGCCCCATGGCCTCCAGCGAGTTTCGGAGAAAGCGGGCACATATCGTGCCTTCTTTAAATCTCTCGCGTCTTTTTATAGGGAGACCAAAACAAGCTCGCAAGAAACCCCTGGACAGAGGCCTCTAATCGAGTAGGTCCGGAAGGCCAGAATCTCTTATCTTACAACCCCCATGCCCATAGTCTCCCCATCTTTGGTCCCACTTGCCCCCACCCTCTGCTCCCTACAAACCCGGACCATCAATAATTTAGGCCCCGGGAGAACTCGCGTTACCGGTATGAAAAGGCGGCAGCTGCGGGCAGATTAAAGATGAATAATTCAGCCTCACCGGGCTCCGGGCCCGGCCCCTCTGCCCCAATCTATGAGGTGGGGATTGCAACCGGGCACGACTGGAGTTCAGGGCCGATGGGCTGCGGAGGATCTGTGCGGAATCCGGCCTAAGAATGCGCAACCGCCGCTGGCGCAGACCCGGGCTGTAGCTGCTCGCCCGCCAGTCGGCTGGCTCGCCGGCCAGCGCAGAGCCTCTCTCCCTTCTTTCGACCACCTTCTGCTTGCTCTGCTCCCCTCTGGGTTTCGAAGTGGTTCCCTGTCACTGATCCCAACTAGCAAATCCAGGAAGCAATCCTTAAAAAAATCCCGGGTGAGGCAGCGGCAGCAGGGCCGAGGCAGAGACTGGTCGCCTGGGTGAACCGACTGTGGACTCTGTTTCATTCCCTCCGAAAAAGAGAGAGGCTTCCCGGCCGGCTGAGAGATTCGAAGCGGCCCGAAGTCTCGCGTTTGGGTTTCCTTTATCTAGAAATTGTTTAGGGAACTATTATTTTATTCCAGGAGATTTTTAATCGTCCCGTGAAGCTAAATATATGCTTAGGAAACAAAACACGGCTCCCTCTTCTTGGATCGCGTTTTAAAGCACAAATCAGGCTAGGTCTAAAAGTTACCTTGTGGAAAGTTACAAATTATCCTTAATTATTAATCTATAGATGGGGAGGGCTTTTCTACTTGGAAAATTATTTATCTTTTTAAGCAAGAGAAAATACCTGACAAATAGTTTTCTGAGCTAAAGACCCGTTATGAATTAGATACATTCAAATATCATTACAAGATTCCCCTTTTCCTATTTTCTTATTTCTCCCCCAACATACTTTAATTTTCTTTCCTTGATTTCCCCCTTCTTGGTTTGATTTCTCTTTCCTTTTTTCTCAGCCTTGGCATTCGTCTTTCTTTTGTTCTTTCCCTCTTATTATTTTCCATTATTGTTGACCCCCTGGCCAGGGCGCTGGCTTCATAATCCCGACAGAGAGTCAAAGCAGGCAAGGATGTCTCTAGAATGCAGAGCATCCAGGTGCCGGCTTGGAAGGCACCTAGCTCTCTCCCTGACTTTGATTTCTTCTCAAAAATCTCTCATTGCTTTTTAGAATGATCACCTCCCTGGGCAAAGTTTAAAAAAAAAGTGACCACCTTCTCCTGCCCCTCTTGTGTTCCTGGCTAAAAGGGAAAGGAGAGAGGGGGAAGAGGTGAGGGTGGAAGAAAAGATGGGATGTTTCAAAGCCGCCCCCAGGAAGCCTTAACTAAGCTGGAGGGAACAAGAGAGCTGAGGCTCAGAAGGGGGTCACACCCTCAGGATCTTCGGCACAATTGTCCTGACACCAAGGCTGCCTAAGCTAGGAGCCGCCTCCTGATTACCCACAACTCTAAGTTTGAGGAAGGTAGAGATGAGGGAGGGAGGAGAGAGAGAGAGAGAGAGAGAGAGAGAGAGAGAGAGAGAGAGAGAG